AGCCCGACCCTTAACAAGGGGCCAGTAATCGGTTTAGGGTTTAGGTTCCATTCAGGGGAGTAGAGTTTACGGCTTAGGGTTTAGGGAAATAGAGTGGCCGCACGTGCTTTTATAATGCGTCTCTCGCAGTTCCTTACTTTATAGAGTTGATACGGTATTACAATCATGGAGGCAAACCTTCTTGATATCGAACCCATGCTCCCAAATTTGTCCTGTGTTTCAGCATCTCAAGCCCAGCTGCTTGAGTTACAGGGCTCTGCGCATTTCGGTCTAGGTTTTATGCACTTGGGGGGTTAGGGTCATTTCGTCCTCCCGTAATGTAGGGGCTTTCCAGTCCATGATAAGTTTGAAGGTTTGGCTCCACTCCCCTCGTGGGCAACACACATGTTCAGATTCTGGATATCCCTATGAAAGACCCACGTGCAAGCAAACAGAGCAGAGAATAATAAACACAAGAGCCGGGGTTTAGGGTTTAGGGTTTAGGGTTTAGGGAGCATCTATAGCTGTCCTACGACGACATTCTTGGACTGCTGTTTGGGACATAGTTATCGGCAGAGGCTTTCTCCCGAAGGTCCAAGTGGCCAAAATAATAGGGCTTGATATTCCGAATACTTTAGTCCATATGGTTCTTGATATTCCGAATACTTTAGTCCATATGGTTCTTGAACTAGGATTTCGTGGCCTCGGCCTACCTGAATCCCGAGTAACTTACATTTTACGGACTTATATAAGGAAGATACAATGACGAGCCCTAGAAAGGTAGGTTTCTTATAGGGTCCAGGTAGCTCGTGGGTTTAGGGTTCAGGGCATGGGGTTTGCGATTTTGGGTTAGGATTGATAGGGCTGAGGGCTTTATCGCTGCGGTTTGGCATGGGGTGGTTTCGGGCCCAGAGGATGTAGTAATGTAGTAGGGCTTCCGAATGAAAGGACAAGGGATCTTCGCAAAACGACCGCTGCTGGGTAGCTTGCAACCTATGGAGGTCCGAGATGGTTACAAGGATCCCCCAAAAGTTGGAACATGGGCTTAGGAGGATTAGTGCTCGAATCTCTTATGCTTTATCTTAAGGGCATGAGGGCAATCATGTTCCAACTTTCTGGCTTCTACTATAACCCGTTGAAGGAGCAGGATTCAATGGAGGTATCGGGCTTCGTTCCCGTTCACTTGCAGAGATAAACCTTTTTTTGGAACCGAGGAAGCTTGAAGAACTCGGAAAACCCAGAAGCCTTGATTGTCGACTCCCAATACTACGACATACTCAACCGAACCCGGATGCCATCTTGACTCAACCGTGCAATGCAATCCTACGACCTGTAAACCTGACCCAGACCTAGCTTCAACCCTAAACCCTTTAACCCGCAGAAGCCCTGGAAGACCCTACCAAACCCGACATTGCCCCCACCCCTGACACGCTATGAACAGACTTAACCGTCAAAGTCTTAAGGCTTAGGGTTTAGCGTTTAGGGTTTAGGGTCTAGTAAGACAGGTACTTTCGTTTCAGGGGCATTGTCTTCTTTGTTTGAAAACGGTGCACTGGCCACTGTTGGACTTAGATGTTCCAGGGATATTGGCGCCCGTGTGTTTCTAAGTCATCAACTTCGCTGCAGGGTTTGGATTCAGTATGGTACGCCGTCTCTTTGGATTCTGTCTACCCCAACTTGGTACCCGATACTACTATACTATCGTAGGGTTCGGCGTTCAAAGATGGGGCTGAGGGTTTCGGAGGATAACTTGACAAGGAAGCTTCAAGTGGGCCAACCATAGAGAAGATCAGCGATCTCAGCCATTAGCACGAACTTGCCTGGCAGTCTCTTCAAACTTATACGACCACAGAATGCAAAAGCCCTGTTCCAATTTTCAATGCCCTGTATTACTTTCCAAATCCTCTCAAGCATCTGAAAGTACGTACTCTAAATCCCCAGCTATATAACCCTAAACCCTAAACCCTGTATTACTTTCCAGATCCTGTCAGACATCTTGAAGTACTCAAAATCCCAAGCTATAAACCATCCCGGGAAGGCCAGCGGCGGGTTGAAGCCATGGCCGCAGTAATAAAGCAGGCGGTGCCGACTTTCCTTTCTATCTCAATGCGAACAAGGCTTAGTAAAGACTTTACAGGGCTTGCGGGGCGCTGTACGGGCTTCTGCTATCAGGCTTTACGTGTGTTCTTTATGTTCCACCATCCCTAAGCTCCCTGCCCGAAACACCCGAAACACTGAAGCCTGTGTCTATCGGAGCTTGCATAAGGTTCGGGATTCGGCTTTGGACTCTGAGGACTTCTTGACGGATCAGGGCGACTGAGGGAAACCGGCTATAAGCAGCTTCATGAATGCCAGAAAACCCTAAACCCTAAACCCTAAACCCTAAACCGATCTGGAAAAAATCCACAGCGTCTATCAGCACCCTGTCTTTCTGCACGATCTTGGCCTTCGGGAACACGATGGGCTCCAGAGACTTCGGAATGCCGCTCTGTTTAGGGTTTAGGGTTTAGGGTTTAGGGTTCCATCCCCATATGTAATGCTTTTCCTCTCATATAATGCTCTCGAGGCCACTTCCCCGTTCATCATTGCTTCAATGATATGTTCTATGCCCTGCATGACAAACCAAAGCTTCTCTCGGCTGGCCTGCATGCAAAGTGTTTTCAGCCTGTCCAATGAGTTCTGGCATGACTTCTTCTCACACTCCCGTCATGATACCGGCAATGGCTGGATCCCTCGTGGCTTTCGCAACTGGTCGGGCATTCACGGCCAACTTTACGCTCGGCTCGTCTTGGCCTGAGGCGGTCAGCCCTTGCTGTTTCACAGAGAGTATCAACAATGCATTTTCACCTCCAGAGTGCAACAATGCCCTTCTCCTCCAGAGTGCAGTGGCTTTCCTTCTCGAGCCGGGCCGTCATCGCATGGAACTCCATGGCAAGCTGATAATACTGTATAGGGGCCTAAATAATTAGAATCGGCCTTTGGGGCCCTTTATACTACAGTTATAATAAGGAATCCCCGCAAAATAGTACAGGCCCTGAACCCTAAACCTTCAACCGGGCCCTCCACAAAGGGTTAGGTTTTTTTTTTTGAGGGTTTAGGGTTTAGGGTTTAGGGTTTAGGGTTTAGGGCTTAAGGTTTAGGGTTCGGGGTTTCGGACCTCGGGGACTTAATAAGTAAGGTCTCAAGTACCTCAATTGGGGGTATCAGTGACTTTAGCTGCAGCTAAATAGGTTGTTTATAGCCCTAGTTACGAAGTCCCATGATCCGGTAAGTAAGCTTTGGATGTGATGTAAGCCGCGTTATTTTGCAGGGTTGCAGGTCCAGTTCCAACGGGGCAGTTGGTTCAAGGTTTTCAGTGTCCCGTAGATATACGCTTACTTAAATGCCCAGTAGCCCAGGATTGAAAAGGGCTCCCATTTTGGTATTTTGGGTACCAAAATAAGGAACCCAAGACTCCTAAAAGGGAAAAAGAGCCAACTGGGAGACCCAGCTTAGGGCCCTATGAGAAGGTCAACAAAAACATACACTGGGTCTAGAGTCTATGGCTTTATTCTGGGATTGAAACATAAACCCCAAACCCATTCTCATGAACCCCACTCCAAAACTAAACACGCTCACGGAGACAGACACAAGCGCCAAACCCAGGAACCCTGAATTCACTAGAAGCCGGTTACCACTGAACACTGCAAGCGAGATGCTCCCGGCTGGACAAACCACTCCTTATCAACTTGGTTTTGGGCTGCTAGGGCTTTAGGACTTTGGTTCAGGATTCTATGGCTGTGGGAGCTTGGGGTTTCAAGCTTGGGTTTTCAAGGGCTTTAGGCGTAATTACGTTCCAGGAGCTAGGATTCAGGGTTTAAGGTTTGCTGGCCCGTAGGTGAGACTTGTTCTTTCTCTCTTGAAAGGAGGCATGACTCGCTTTCGGCTGGCTCATGACCACAAGCTTTCCCGCCGATGGAAGGTCTGCTTGGATGCTTTTTGTGGGTTTAGGGTTTAGGGTTTAGGGGCCGGGCTGGAAAGACATCGGGATGACGATTCGTGTCATGCAGGATACTAAGTAGGCTTACTAGTCAAGAGCCACTGTTTCAACATGCAGGTTTGAGGAGGTTAGGGATTATGACTCCACATGCCCTACCTTAAACTACAATGGTCGGCATTGTTGTAGGAATCAAGGATTTAGTGTGGGTCGCTTGAAATCAAGATCGGACTCGGGCTGGTTGAAGGAGAAGGGAGCAATACCAAAAAAGCTGAACTGTTGCTGTGGACGGACCTCCAAAGTCCAAGCACAGGGTAGTGGAATAACTATAGGCTACTAAAGCCGAGAATGTAAGATTTTGCATTTGTGTACTTTGGACCATATAAAGCCCCAAAAAGCCTACTTGATTCATGCAAAGTGAAGCGCTGTGCAAAACTCCTACAGAACACTGATAAATTCATCCGGAGCCCAAGTAAACCCTACATAACCTGTCAACAATGGCGAACACAAAGGCTTGAAGAACCAAAGCCCCCCACGCTCGCCTGGGCCGGAAAAATCCTAAACCCCGGTACTGCCCCTGTAGTGTTTAGGTTTTAGGCTTCAGGGTTTAACCCTAAACCCTGAACCTAAAACCCTAAAACCCTAAGGGTTCAGGAATTAGGACCCTAAACCCTAAACCCTAAACCCTAAACCGTGTAGGGTATACTCATCCCAAATCCCAAACCCTCAGAGTCCGCGGCCCCTTCGAACCCCAAGCCAAAGATAGACTCTGAAACCTACCTCTAAGCCTTAAGCCTAAGCCGTACCCTAACTGCAAGGGCAGTAGCCTCACAACCCTAACCACACCTTAAGCCCTGAAAGCACTAAAGCTCCCGGAAGAAACTCAATCCTGTAAACCCAAAGGCACCTCAGGGTGAAAAAGAGCATGGGGAAACCCCTGGAATTATGTCACTCTCGTGTTAGCAAACGTCTTCTGCATAGACCAGATCTAGACACCCGACAGGTTCAGGACCATTTCCGGAAAAACAACCTTCAAGTACGTTCTGGTTTAGGGTCTAGCGCCTAAACTCTTCAGCCATAAAGTAGGCCCTGAAAAATGCAGTTCGAATGGCCCCTCTTTGATGGTAATTAGGCCTTTCGAACAACCCACCACCTATTCCAGCCCTACCTTAACCTACCATGACTTTCTCTTTTGTAGGTTCATATCACTAAACCCTAATATAGAATTTATAGGGGCCCTAGAAGAAATTAGGTTCTGGTAGGTTGAAGTAGAGCCAAACCTAGTTGCCGAGTTCATGAGCCAAAGAAGTTGAAGCTTTCACGAGGTAGTCATACTTGAAAAAGCTTACAAAGCTTACTTGTTGTAAAAAGGCTATAAGTTATAAGTACCTTAAGTGGAGCTCTAAGTAATCATAACTATCGTCACCTTATTTACAACCCTACATACCAAGTCCCATGGTCCTCAAGCACTAATTCAGCTACCGGCTTAATTCAAGCGAATTAAGCCGTATAGCCCCTAGATAACCAAAAACCTCGTTTATCGAACCCTGCGACAGAACCCTGGAAGGAACCCCTAAAGGAATCCATATAGTAACCCTCAAATTTAAAGGAACCCTCATGGAAACCCGTAAAGCAACCCTAAGAGTAGCCTTTGTAGGAACCCTTATAGTAGCCCTTACGGTGACAACTTAAAGGAATTCTTAAAGGAACGCCTGAAGCCTAAACCCTGAACCCTTACTTACCCTTAAGGGAACCCTTTTAGGAACCCGTATAGTGACCCTAAATTAAAGGAACCCTGAAGTAACCTTGACAGGAGCCCCTAAAGGAACCCTCACAGCAACACCTCAACCCTAACAGACCCTAAACCCTGAACCCTTATAGGTCCCTTTAAAGGAACCCTGAAGGAACCCTAAACCTTAACCCTTAAAGGAACCCTTCTCAACCCTACGCTGCTCGCCGGAGGTCCAAAGCCTCGTGGAGCCTCTGCCGCGTCGCATCCCGTAGCAGCTGCCTGAAAACGGAGGCGCTCTTCTTTAGGGTAAGATAGGGGTGTAAGGCTTTTCGGGTTTCAGGTTTAGGGTTTGAGGTCTAGGGTTTAACGGTTCGGGGTTTAGGGGTTTAGGCGTTGAGGGGTTTAAGGGTTTAAGGGTTTAGGGCTTCGGGTTTAGGGGTTTAGGGGTTTAGGGTTTAGTGGCCTTGGGGTAATTTAGGGGCCTTGATTCTTGACGATTAACAAGGATTTGAGGATATATTACGCTTTAGGTATACGGTATTCTTACTAAATGCCCAGACTTCTACGTTATAAGGCTTAAGCGTCTGGTTGAGGGGTTTAGGCTGTCGGGGTTTAGCTTGCGGTGTTTTACTGGCATGTGTGTGGGGCGGGGGCGGGGGTGCTAGCAAGTAAGTAAGTAAAGCTATATATATATATGTATGTGTGTATATATATATATATATATAAATACACTTTGCATGGGCAGAGGTTGCTGGTATTTGGAAGTTCAGGAAACAGTGGGAAGCTAGTTTAAGGGGTCCTTAGAAACGGGTCCTGCATTGTTCTCGGACACTGCAATGTAGCTGCACCTCGAGGGTCATGGGACCTCGTAGGTAAGGTTATAGGAACCTTATAAGTTAGGTTCATAAGTAACTGTGTGCACTAAAAACCTTAAGCATAACCCTAGTTGCTACTGGTTACCTTATGGTTAACACTACCCCCATGATCCGTTAGGTAGAAGTTCAAACCTGAAGTCCCTTTAATGAACCCCTTAGGTTACGAAGTTCCATCAGTGATGGAACTTCGTAACCTCAAGGGTTCATTATCAGAGCGGTTGACACCCCGCCGTTGCCCAGGATCCCCCAAAGGAACCAAGGAAGCCTCGAAGCCCTTGAACTAATAAGGACTGTGACTTAAACTGTCGTACCCAGGCCCTTTCAAGGATCCAAAACTAACTCAGAACCCGCGCAACAAAGCCTCCCACTACCGCTGTATCGCTTAAAACGAGTCTTGTTTGAAGGGTTCCCCCGAAAGAAAAGCACTAATACCGAAGCTTGAACAATTAGAAACGGGAAAAATATGACCCCCCAAAGCCTGTTCGAATGAACAAAGCCCCTGTATCCGAAATCCCTATGAAACTCTTAGTGAAGGAACCATATACAGGACCCCTTTGAAGCAAACCCTAAACCCTAAACCCCTAAACCCTATTCTGAGTATTAAAGCCCCTCTATGAGACAAAGATGTGCCGAGCCACGGCTCGGCACAGAGGCCGGAAGATCGCACCATCTCCAGGAACCTCTCCTGGGCTTTGAAGCAAACGTAGGGGCCCTAATAATTAGAACAGGGTTTTGGGGCCCATTATACTATAACCATAATAAGGAACCCCCCAAACTGGGGCGCATTATACTATAACCAGAATAAGGAACCCCCCAGCATAGTGTTGGTAATTCTTTAGGTCCCTACATTACGGTTCAGGTGATGGCGGCGTTGTAGGAAACCTTAAGTGTTGCTCGCTCCCTCAACAATCGGCACAGACAAGGCTCAAAACTTGCCTACGCAGACCACATACTTGGAGGATCATGGGACCTGGCAAGTAAAGTTGCAAGTGATGTGAAGGCCTTAATAATTAGAATATGGTTTTGGGGTATATAATACTTTAATTACAATCAGGAACCCCCCAAATACTATCGGTACTTCTTTAGGCTTTTATATTACCTTCATGGGGGTTCTACGTGATGGTAACTACAGTCATCGATTTTTAAACCCTAGTTGCTAAGTCCCATGGTCCTCTATAAGTACACCCTGCCCGAAACGCCAAGCACTGTGCCCCAAGCTACACTTGGGTGGTTGTCAATATTATGGTCCCTTTTTGGGTCCTTATTATAATACGGCACCTATTATTTAGGGTACCCCAAAAGGGACCATAATTTTGACAACTACCCACTTACCATCCTTGAGTAACTCCGGGACCCAGCCAAGCACCTAAACAAAAGCAATACGGTTTTGGGATACCCTAAACCCTACCTAAACCCTGAACCTTCAACCCTAAACCTACACAATCCATCATCGTCCCCCTTTTGAGCAGAGAAGTAAGGTATCCCGGCAACAAGTTTATGTGCGCGAGCCTTCTGGGTTCCTGAATAGAGAGGCTTCGCAAGTGACTAGGGAGGTTTAGGGGCTCAAGGTTCCGGGATGCTTTACTATAACTTATGGGTTTAGGGTTTAGGGTTTAGGGTTTAGGGTTTAGGGTTTAGGGTTTAGGGTTTAGGGTTTAGAGAACCCCGAAGAGTCCGAGAAATGCTGCCCTTACTTGTTCAGTCATACTTTGTTAAGGGTTTAGGGTTTAGGGTTCAGGGTTTAGGGCTGCTTGCCCAAGGAACAGCATTGTGCACAGCGTCAGGAACCGGATCCAAGCCTAATGTTGGATCATAGCCTTGGCCGCGAGGGTGCGCGGTTTAGGCAAATCCAACTGTGCAGACTCCGGTACGGATACGTCAGACCACGGCAAGACAGATGTATGCAGTTGCAACAACAAGGAACTCGGGCTGCAGAAATATGGATCAAAACCCATCCATCATCAGTCGCATGAAACTTGCAGCATTTAATCTCTTCCTTGAGTCATCATAGAGTTGCTTATGGAGCTCATGTCGAATAAATAACAAGGGATCATGGTGAGAGCTTTCTTGGTCGGCCGCATCATCAACTTCGGAGTTAGGAGACGAACCCATGGCTGAGGAAAGAGTTCGATGTGCCTTGATCCAGGTAATACAGACTGAATGTTGGGGCCGCCCTGCTCAGTCATTACAAGAAGATCACGGTCGGGATGGAGAAACTAGTATGAAGGATCATGCCAATGTGCCACAATTTGCAGGACCCCAGTGACAACCGCAGAGCTATCGCTGTTACCTGAGGATTTAAGGTACATCGCTATCCATTGTGATAGACCCCTCGTCAAAAAAGGAGCCCTAAACCCCAAACAACACCTGACACCCCAGAACCGGAATTCAGGGGTAAGGGTTCAGGGGTATATTATGGAATTATGGTATATTCGGGTATATTATGGTATATTCTGGTACTTTATGGTACATTAGGGCTTCGGAACCCCTGGCTTCGTGTCAGGAGGCCCCCGTTGCCCACCACCAGGACACGCCAAGCCATGAAGCTCCGCGGGAGGCCCTACCAAGGGGGGTTGGGGTTTAGGGTTCAGGGTTCAGGGTTTAGAGTGTAGGGTTTAGGGGTTCAGGGTTTAGAGTGTAGGGTTAGGGGTTCAGGGTTTAGCGCTTAGAGTGTAGGGAGAAGGGTGCATGGATTGAATGTAGGCTAGTCCGATTGACGGCCTGAAAGTACAACGGGTCGGTGGCTCCGTGGTCTTGGGGCTTCGAGCCGAAAGCTACAGGTACACCACAACATTGAAGCTGCTATTCACTTTAGGGTTTAGGGTTGAGGGTTTAGGGACACCAGCATCTTAAACACCTGAAGTCTGAACTGACAAGCCTCACAAACTGAACCGCTGAACCACCTTCACAACCCTGAGCCGGAAATCCCAAACCCCAAACTCCAAACCCAAAGCCCCAAACCC